ATATACCTACAGTACGTGGCTGATACAAGTGTCCAATACAGGGCTTGTTCGCCCGCGTGAAGGTTCTTTTTTACTGCCGTGCAAGTGGGTTGGAATAATCGTCTGAAGGTATGTGCTGGGTGTTGCGGCTAGGTAGGCGTGGTGGTGTTGAGGTACGTAGTTAAGTTAGTACTGGCCGCTTCTTTAATAGTATTAGAACAACTGTTTAAAACTAGTTACATACTTGGGAATGTATCACGCTAAGTTTTCCGTTAGTTTCTTTATAATGTCACAAATATAAGAAAAGGTACGTGCTGCGTTGCATTTTTTTTGGGGGGGGGGGGGGTAAAGTACGCACGGACTACCTAAACACAAGGCTCCCCTTCATAGGGCCACGAGGCGCAGCAAGCTGTGCCCCCCCCCATTGCGCGTGATTCCGGATTCCGGGTTTAGGCGAGGTGTAGATCGGGGGCGCGAGCATGGCGGGGGAAGATCAGATCGACGGGGGGAAAGGTGTATTTATATACCATTACGAATACAGTTTACAGCTGTGGTACTTAGTTGAAGCTTGATTCATCTCAACTCAACCCAGCTGAACGCAACGCAACACAACGCAGCAGAACTTCAGCATACTTGTTGCCACGCCTGCAAAAAAATGACGTCGAAACGTGATGAAGCCACGGAAAACAGCTCGGTCGAAGCCGAAAGCTCGACCGCATCAACAGCAACACCACAGGAAACACCACCAGCATACAGCGCAAGCAGCGCCACTGACACGACCGCCCCACCAACCTACGCATCCGTCCAGCGCGCCCTCACAGCGCTCTCGCAAGGCCCACCCGACGAAACCATCTCGGTACCCATGATATCGCGGACGGTACAATTCAGCCTGCACAACTACAACCCGTTTTCGCGCAAGCAAGGCACGATCCGGCAGTCGGTCGTCACGCGGCAGATGAAGCGGTCGCAGTACCTGGCGCACTATGCCAAGGATGCAGAGGGCAATTTCATCGGCACGGGGCGGCCCGCGCCAGACGCCGATCTGGTGTTTGTCCCCAGTAAGGGGAGCAGCGAGGATATGCTGCGGCAGGCCGAGGAGGTGGCGCTTAGAGTGCAGAGGTTGAGGGGGAAGGGCATTGGGGATTGGGGGCAGCCGTTGCCGGATAATTATGGGGGGATGACGGGGGGTGCTATGTGATGGGTGGTGTTTATGAGAGGGTATGGTGCGAAGAGTGGGAGTTGGTTCGTGCGTTTGGAATCGATAGAGGCTCTGCTTGATTGTTAGGACTGGTGAGATACGAGGAGCTGAAACGGCTGTTTTTCTTGTAAGCGTATGGATTCTCGATGTTCAGCTTGTTGATACGTGTATTTAGCTGTAGAATACATCTGGATCTGTTCACCATGCTAGTAGTACCCTTTATCATCCCAAGGACTTCTTCTCTTAGCCCACTCCTCAATAGGCGTCAGTTTCACACCCAATTCGTCCACCACAGGCTTCATGTCAATGTTGAACGGCTCGTCGTCTGCCTCGTTGTAATACGTGTAAGCCTTGAACATCTGACTCACGACCGTCTCAGTCTCCAACCCTCTCCCCTCCATCGTCTTGCTAATCTTGTCGCAAAAGTCCGCCACGGTTTGATTTTCGTAGCTCAGTTCCCTTCCCCAGGCCCTCGATAGTTTCGCCGTGAGCTGGGAAAGCACAACCGTTTCAGGACCGCCAACAGGAATGTCGCGCCCCGCAAGATCGGGACGATGCATGGCTGCCATCATGATTTGCGCGACATCGTGGTGGCAAATCCATGATACGCGCAAGTCGGGCTTGTGACAGTAGACGACCGTGTTTTGATCGCGAATTGGAGCCAAGGCCCAGCCCTCGAGCAGATTATCCAGGTAAACCACAGGCTCGATGCTGATAACCGGAACGTATTCTCGTAACAGCGTCCTCATTTCTCTTCGATCATCCTGGGCTACGATGTCCTGCGGCGTCTTGGGAACCGGCATACTGGTGTTGAACAGTATCAATGCGACATTGGCCTTTTTTGCGGCTTCACCAATGTGTTTCGTCGCGGCAATGATGGGCTCGAATTTATTGAAAGATGTTGATGGGAGATTGACAAACGCCCTGTCTGCGCCTTGAAGTACTTTTTCCATGGCATCTTCATTGGAGAAATCTGCAGCAAACGTTTCGACAGGTTTCTCGTCGACTAGAAGTGGTTGCGGGTTGCGGCTCACGGCGACGACCGAGTGGCCTGCTCGCGCGAGAACGTGGACTTGGTGGCGGCCCTGGACGCCCGATGCGCCGAAGACGACGACGCGCATCACGAAGTATTATTTTGGCTTACCGTCGTGTGAGTGAGGGAACTAGAGTGAACCGAATGTAAGATGCACAGGATGTGTGCTTGCTGTATTTGCTGTGTTGCTGTATTTATTCTCATCATTCAAAGTGGAGATGGCGGAGTTGATCAGCCACCCCGCCAAAGAAGGCGGAAAATCATACCCGAATCGAGCACTCGATCTTCGCCTCATTGAATCTTATTCTGGCCTGCTACAATATTATCTTGTAGGACTGTACTCTTCGTTATGCTCGATACAGTCAGTCGACGGACTGTTGACTCTTTTGATCGATCAACACCTGGAGATAGGTGTGGCGGGGCTCCGATATCGCTCCAAGACTATCCGACCTCAAGGCCTCATAAAGAGATGGTGCGGAGATAGTTGGATACGCAGCTGCTGGATCGTGCAGCCTCTTCCAAAGCCTTGAGAGTCACCGTATTAAAACGTACCAGACGAAAACCAGCTTTAGCCCGAATTGTCCTTAGCGCCCATATCAGGCAGCGCCATTCGTACAATGCACTGCAGGGCCTTTTGGATGTCCAGAGAATTTGGTTCATAACACGCATCCCCTATTGTGCTTTTTGCAGGTCCAGGGCAGCCGTTGGTACATGTTGTTGTCTAGTCTACGAAAAATTGCTCGTGCTGCCTTGCTATTGGCTTGTCGACATGATTCTTCTTGCGCTCCGGTGCGGCAGTAAGACGACTGGAACACCAAGGCTTCAAAGAGCCCATGTAGCAGGTGCGGTCCATGAAGCATTTCCCAGAGTACAATCTTTTTGTTGAGAAGAACGCGTGGAAGGATCAACCGCCTGGAGCAAGAAGGCATTGTATTACAGACACTGCCAGGGATATAGAAGAGCTGGAGATGAGAAGGTGGCTGCAAAACTTGTTTCAGAATGTTGTTGGGAAGGATTCCGTTCTGCCCTATCTACGGAATACGGCGAAAGCGGTTACCACGATGCTGCAGAGGCTGTACTCAAGGGTTTGTTTCGAATGCCCCAGGCCTACCGCTGAGAATACAAACGGTGCGTGATATCTGAGAGCACCCATGGCTTGGAGTATACCCGGTCACATGCCTCGGCTGATGATGGTGGTACCAAGGTGCGACGGGCAGCATTTGGTGGTAAGCTACTGTACCCTGGCGTACCAGCAGGTCCTGGGGCGTCCAGACCCCGAAAACCTTTGTCTGGGTGGGTAGCTGGTAGCAAGTCGAGTTGTTTCTTTGTTTTGGTATCGTGCTGCAGAACGCTTGCATGGCCTACCCCATGTGGCCAGGATGGAGGACTTGGCGCCGTGATGTGGAGGGGAGAGCCGGGTAAACGGAGTGCAACTGGAGAGGGAGGTGATGGTGAAGCGTGCTATCGGACGTGCTGCGGACCAGTCGTGGTTGGTCCATGTCGAGGGATGCATAGGTGTACGACGCTGGTGATAAAGCCCACATTATGCAGCCAAAAAAAAGTGGGCTCCGTTGCCCTACATTTGCAAAATGCCGATAGTGCCGTAGCCACAGCGAGGGCTTGCTGTGTTGGGTAAGGAAACTATCGAGTAAGCGGCGATGGAACGTGTCGTGGCTTTGATTGGAGCGGCCATGCCTCACCGAACATGGGGCTGATGAAGGCATTCCGAGGAGCGGAAGTGGTTTGTCCGCCTTCTGGCTCCGTGTACACCTGAGGTGTCGGCAGCCGCCATGCGAAGTTGCCGTCGCAGGGATTGGAATGTCTTCTGTGGACCGAGGGCGTCTAGGCGATGTGGAGGCTGTAGAGTCGTTACAATTGCCGCGCAGAAGGGGTGGTGGTGGTGGTGGCGGCAGTGGATGGGCAGCGGAGACTGGAGCGGGCACGTCTCGTTGCTGGAAGGGGGCAGAATGCAGTCTCGTTTGCGGGCTCCGGGCTGCCTGGTGGTGGAAGAATGCGGCGTGTACTTGTTGTCGGGGCCCAGCTGTTGTTATTTATCGTGGTGCGAGGTGGAATCCGCCGGCATGGAGGAGGATGCGGTGCTGCTCATCGCCGATGGCCTCGAGGCCCGCCCTTGGCCAGCCTTACCGGGGCTCGCGCAGCATCACGGCGGCTCCTTTTTACTGGCGGCTACCATGGCCGCAGTGGTCAGCCAACAATCCATGGCCAGGCGTCGAGCGTCGATGGCGCAAACGGGGGGCGGCGTCTCATTTTGGTTGAAGTCCACGGGTCCGCCCGTGTTCACCGCGCTAGTCGCTAGCTGCATTAGCGGCGGGGAAGCTCACTGCTCTTCCTTCGTCCTTTGCAATATTCCCTTTCTTAGCAAATTCACCGACGTCCCGCCGCATCGCACACGCTTCCCTGGCCTCGAATTCGCGACGACGCCTCGCCGTGCCTGCTCGCTTCCAAGGTGCCAGCCAAGCCGAGCAAGCAGCCGCAACGCTCCCCAAACATCCAAGCCGAGTCTGTCCAGCAGTGTCCGCCTCTGTACGCCTGTGCAGACAATGCCAGCCCCTTGCCATTGGCTGCGGACCGTCTGACCGTCCCCATTAAGAGTCCACTGTGCCCCGTCGATCATGGGCGGACAAGGCTTCCGCTCCGGCCTGATACTTTGTCTGCAAAGTCAATGGCTGGCTGGCGTACCATGCCACCCGTTGCCTGGCCGTTGAGGCAGCCCGCTCATCTCCTCTTAGCGAGGCCCCGACCGTTGCTGCACCCGTATGCAATTTGGACAAGGGTTGCTGCTTCAGCTGCCGCCCACGGTTGGGGCCTACCTTGACCGAAGGTGAACAGATGGGTCCCTTCCCTTGGTATGACGAAGCTTCGGCCTGGAAGAGCGGTGCCGCTGGTTGCCATATAGACCTCCAAATCCTTTCAGCCTGCCATCGACTAGCTGAGATTCCTCCCCCTCAGAAAGCGTGTCCTCGCCCAAGCATCCCAGGTCCTGGCCCCTTTTTCTGACGCCATATATTCGATAGACTTGACACGGTATTTTCAGCATCCCTTGGCTTCTCCAGTATTCCATTGGTTTGGACCCTGAGCTAGCTCAGCCTTACAAGGTCGATATGACGACCTCTATCTTGACGCCGCTCAACAACAGTCCGTTCGGGGTGCCAGACTCGTACCCTCGAACAATCTCGACAATGTCCAGGGGGCAAGGCTACTTTTTTCACAACTTCAACCCAGACGATGCCACAGGATCTAATAGTTACAACTTCCAACACCCACAGCCACAGAGCACTGAGCACGCCTTCTCCAATGTCTGGGGCACATCCCCTTTGACGACTGCGCCGCCACAGGACACACACCACGCATTCGTTTCGCAACCATCTGTCAACGCAAGCCCGACATCGACAGCAAGCATCGACCCTGCGGCTCTATCTACACCGACCTTCACACCAGCCAACGCATCAGCTTCTTTCTCTACACCCACGTTTACATCAGCTAATTCTTCTGTGGCTCTCGCCACACCCAACTTCACGCCCGCAAACTCATCTGCCGGTTTCCACCATCACGCCGCGGCCATCTCCCCCTCGCAATCACATTTCGACACCAACCTTTCCTCGTCCTCGCCCCTCGGCAACGAAACATCTTGCCTGGTATCCCTACATGGGTTCATCAATTGCATAAACCGTCATGAATCCATCATCCGGATGACGGTGTGAGAATCTCTCTCTCTCTTTCTTCATCTCACACATAGAACCGACCCCCCGACCCCCCCCCAACCCCCTCATACGCTGGGTATGAGACAGAGATACGAAAAATACCTCCCACGACCTAACCCAACCTAACCCGACCCAACATGCCATCTCACAGTGTTCTCGAATACGGCTGCGTAAAGTCCTGTGTCGACGCTAGCCGATCCGCCTCCATCTGCAAATACTGGGCTATCCTGCCATCGGGGCAATGGGCATGTTGACCGAGGAGTTCCTTGAGGGCGCGGACCTCGGCCTGCAGCATTTCCTTTTCGGCTCTCAGCATGCGGTTTCTGCGCTCGTAGTCGCGCGAGCGTTCGACCAGCATTTCTTGCTCCATTTTCTGCTTGCTCCGGCACTTGCTGGCGGCCCGCCGGTTCTTCTCGAGATAGATGGCGCGTGCCGACCCCGGGACCACGTACTCTGAATTGCGGCGGCGGCGGGGAGCGGACTGTGTGGGCGATGTCCGGTCGTCTTCTGCCTGTGAGTTAAGGCTGTTGCTGCGGAATCTCGACACGATACGACACGAGACCACGTATGGCTATGACTTGGAGAAAGAAAGAAGAAAAAAAGAGAGAGAGAGAGAGAGAAAAGCAAATCACCAGAACATAAACAATCACGCCAAGCAAACAAACACACGCCTCAAAGGTGATCTTTATAGAAGATATTAATTCATATTCGATTCGAAACTCGCGGCTTGTATCGTATACATTGTCTTCTCTTGAGGCGCTGTCCTGAGGTGCTTGGTTCTTCTGCCTTGCCGGATGCGATGCTGAGTTGGTCTCATGCTCGACAGAAGATCATATCTGTGTGCAAACAAACAAACAAACAGGTCAAAAGGTATGCAAGTACACTCGTCTTGATTGTTTTGATCGAGAACAAGAAGAACAGATTATGCATTTTTATTTTGAGAGAGAATCATATGCAGATGTACATATTATCATTATGTAACGTGCTTAGAAAGAAGCGATATACAACAGATTTAAATGCCGGCGTTTTCGCCAATTAACACAGACACCCACCGTGCCCATGGCCATATGTACCCAGTGTGGAAAAGATAGACAGATAGATAGACACCTGATTCGCCTCGCGCCAATTGCAACATCGGAAAAAGTCCAGCTCATAGAGAACTCACAAAGGTCGTGTACATGAATGAGACTTGGTGTCGCAATATTTCCCCCCTAGAAATGTAGTATCCGTAATATAGTACAGTTAGAAGAGAAGAGAAAATACAATCGAGAAAGTTCTGGGGGGGAGAGGGGGAGGTTGAAGAGCGCATGACTTGTCTCAGTCGTTGGCGGCGTTCCATTTCGTGGACAAAGACGCCCCCGCTGGGTGTGAAGTTGGGCGGCGAAGCACGGACGATGCCGCGATTACCGAGCGAAGGAGCGCGTATCGGCCGTATTATGGAATATGCACTAGTGTCGCTATGGGGTGGTATAAGATTGCACTGCCCCGGCCCCTCCTGCATTTGGCTCTTTCGCACACGCGCTTTCATCGACTTGTCGATTTTTTGTTGGCTCGGGGCGACTCGGACTTTGTGCGGTCTCCCTCTTTTTTTTATTCATACATTGCTCTACGTGTTTCGCGTAGAGCGATGCGGAATCTGCTACTGCTTTTGGTCAGCCTGACGGTTGTGGCAGACTAGATGTACCAGGTGAGCTTGGGGACCTGGTAGTGGGGAATAACAGAATAAGAGTCGGCTGTGGTGATGCCTAGATTGGGTCCAGTCATGGCTGCAAAGCATCATATGGGCTCAGATGGTAGCCGGGGTGGGTGTTGAGCTCCAGATCTGTTGTCCGATAATGCTGCGCGGCCATTCCAACCATTGAAGAAGATCAGGTGTCGCTGCTAACAGCAGTTCTGATGCTGCGAGTATCCAACGTGGCCATTTGGAGACCCACCACACCTCACGACTCTGAGCCAGCAGAGCAACAAAGTGAGTAGTGATGATGCATGTTACAGGATTGTGTGCTGCGAGAAGATCGAGAAAATGGCTGCTCAGCTGAGCTGACCAGACAAAAAGAAGGGAGTACTCATCGCGATCGGGAGGTAGGTGGCGGAAGCGGACATATATGTTGTGGAGGCTGTCGATGGCTTTTGCACAGACTTCCTTGTCCTGGCTGTCTAGTAGCAACTCGGTAAGCTCATTCAGACGGAGTATTTCCTGGGGCCTGTCGTCCCCGGCAAGTTCATCTAGCGCCCTCAGGTCTTCTTGATTGGACAGGTCCGTCATTTGCTCAAAAATCACCGTATCTTTTAGTTGATCCCAGTGAGGCATGACGACGACCTTGATACCTTGAAGCAGCATAAAACAATGATGAAGTGCGCTGATGGGATCTTCGGGTTGCTCGAGTAGTGCCGAACCAAAGTTGTAGGTTAGGAGGACAGAAGACAATAAAAACATGGGTAGAGCTAACTCGAGTTTGGGCGTCTCTAGATTTTTCCTGTATGTGTCCAAAGCGCGGCTGATGTGGGAATCGGCTTGGAGTAGGAGGTCCTGCCGATCTTTGGTTGGAAGCAAGGATGCTTGGTGAACGGCAGAGAGAGCCAGGAAGCCGCGAAGAAGGAAGGGATGTTCAAAGCCTAGTTCGACGAATTCTTCTTTCCAAAAAGCACTCCGTTTTGCAGGGTTGGGGTGCAAGGACATGGCGCATGTCGTGGTCCAGTGATGCAGCAACTTGAGATCAGCCAAAGGGAGCTCGGGACTACTTTGCGCTGCAGCTGGGCTCTCGGCAGCAAAAGGCTCGGCAAGTGGTGAGTTTGCGCCGGAGATTGGTGGTTGAGGCGTCGAGTAGCTGCCGGGTACTGTCGGGAAAGTGCAATGAATGTCCAAGCGAACGCAGTTGGCGCATCGTGGCCGCGCTTCGTTGCACTAGAATGCATGGTAAGCAAGACGTGCCACGGTCACTGCAATAAGAATGCTGTAGCTTTACGAGGCCCCCCGCACGTCAGACGATCGCTGTTGAGCAAGATGTGTAGGGATTGGCAAAACACTTGAGCAATCCACTTTGATTGGCTGAACAGGGCTGGGCCGCAGTCGAGTGAAGACGTACTTTGGTGTGTCGTTGCTTGCATTGGAAACATCCTTTCCGAGACTTGGTGTGCGTCTTGCGCTTGGCGACGCGTTGTTCCGCCATAGTCGTGATGATCAGGGGAGTGCAATGGCTTGCCCGCAGGAGACGGCGATGCTGGCGTTGAGCTGAGGCGCAGCCAAGGTTTATGTAAGCAACCAGTCACGTGCTTGACCCAGCCGTCTGGCATGTCCCGTCCCGCCAGGGATGGACACCTTTCGTTGCATCATCATTCGCTTGGAGACGTGGCAATTCAACATTGGAAACGACAGGGTTCTATCGGAGATGGTCTATGAGATTGGACGCCGGGAACAGGTGTCCCCAACCACAACAGGAGCATTGGTTTTGTTTCATGCTTTGACCGATACCACGGCAAGTGTACATGCACATGTAGGATCATTTGTCTTTCTCTGGTGCTAGTCCCTGAACTCAGCCTGTGCATCCGCATTGCGTCATCCCACATTCTCTCTCTCTCTCTCTCTCTACTGCTACTTGCTTCTTCGAGTGCCGTTGGCATTCTTCTTGCCGGGGTGGCTGCCGAAGAGGCGCTTGGGTTGGTGCTCGAAGCTTTCAGGCATGCCCGTCAGAGCACAACTGGTGCTGGCGAGGACATGCACATGTTTCAGACCGAACTGCTGGTATCTGCTGCAATGCCCCCGGCTGGCGCCAAAAAGAAAAAAAAAGAAATCTTATTTGCTCGCTGCTCATGGTCAAGCGTCGGGTCGGAATCTCAAACGCAGACTGGCGATGATGAGCGAATCAGGATGCTCCGGATGAAACGGCACGGCGTCGACGGAACAGCATGGTGAAGCGTGGGACTGGGGAAGACGGCGAGCGCGAGAGCGAGAGGTGCGAACAGAGCAAGAGGGCGGACAGAGGGCAGCGGAAACCAGTGCTAGTGTATACACGCCGTGGTGGTGTGGAGGGAGGGGGAGCAGAAAGGGCCGGGGCTGGGCAGGCACGCGAGGCTTGGCGCAGGGTGCTTGGGGAAGGGGTGACGTACCCACCTTTCGGTCGCGCGTGGTGGGTGGCACCGTCGGGCGGCGGGTGTTTGTCTGGCTTCGAGTCTCGCCATGTGCCGAACTCGCATACTTTTTGCATATTCCCGTCGTCCTTCCTCGCCCTAACTCATGGTGCGTACACGGCTCTGCCCCGCTCGGCTCGAGCACGACAACGACTCCCGCTGACTGCACTGCGTACTTAGGCGTCGCTCCTGCGGCAACTCGTCGCCGGCCCTCGCGCCCGGCATCCCGAGGCTGGACTCGACCTCTGCTATGTGACGGACAACAGTACAGCCCTCACGCCTCTGCTGTGCCTGCGCCGACTGACCGCGTCCCAGTTATCGCCACGTCGGGCCCCAGCGGCACATATCCCCAGCGCGCCTACCGCAACCCGCTCGACTCGCTCGTCAAGTTCCTCGACTCCAAGCATGGCGACGACTGGGCCATCTGGGAGTTCCGCGCCGAAGGGACGGGCTACCCTGACTCGGAGGTGTACAACCGTGTATACCACTATCCCTTCCCCGACCACCACCCCCCGCCCTTTGCCCTCATCCCGAACATCATGGCGAGCATGCGCAACTGGCTGCACGCAAAGAAGGGCCGAGTCGTCGTCGTCCACTGCAAGGCCGGCAAGGGCCGCTCTGGCACCGCCAGCTGCAGCTATCTCATCAGCGAGGAGGGCTGGCCTGTCCAAAAGGCCCTCGACCGCTTCACGGAGCGGCGCATGCGCCCCAACATGGGCAAGGGCGTCAGCATCCCCAGCCAGCTGCGCTGGATAGACTACGTCGACCGCTGGACCAAGCACGGCAAGATGTACGTCGAGCGCCAGGTCGAGGTGCTCGAGGTGCACTGCTGGGGGCTCCGGGACGGCGTCAAGATCCAAATAGAGGGCTTTGTCGACGACGGCAAGCTCATCAAGAACTTTCACACGTTTACGCGCGACGAGCGCGAGATTGTCCGCGGCGAGGTCAAGACGACGGGCATGGCGCAGGCCGTGCAGGAAGTTATGTACAAGAATGGCTTCGGCCCGTCCAAGAACAGTGAAGCCTCCAAGAACGGGAGCACGTCTTCTCTGGAGCAGAACGGCGAAGGCGCCCCTGTGGAGCGAAACGTATCGCGCGAGAGCCTTCCCATGGGCACCGGCGACGTCGTCTTCCGCCCGTCCAAGCGCGTCGTGCTGGCCACCAACGACATTAACATTGACGTTGAGCGGCGCAACAAGGCCGCCTTTGATCTGACCATGGTCACGGCTGTCGCACACGTGTGGTTCAATACCTACTTTGAAGGCAACGGCCCCGAGCAAAACGGCAATGCTGACGACTCGGGCATGTTTGAAATTGCATGGGATGCCATGGACGGCATCAAGGGCTCGTCGCGCAAGGGCACGCAGGCTTTTGAGCGGATAGCCGTCGTGTGGCGTGCACTATCGGCCGACGAGGGCCGGCCTGGCGTAGTGATCAAAGAGCCAAAGGAAGGCGAGCCGGTCAAGCAGGCACAGCCCGCAGACTGGAGAGGCGCCCATGGCGTGGAGCCGTCCGAAGGCAAAGACCTTGGAGTCCGCACTGCCAGCCCGACGAATGCTGAATCGGACATTAGCCGTGCAAACAGCATCCGAAGCGAGAACAAGAAGAAGCCAGTGACTGTCAAGATGCCGGGCAAGAGAGACAGCGAAGACAGCGATACCAAGGATGTACGGCCGCTTGGGCCGAATGGCGAGGAGGTTGTGGCAGAGCCGAAAGACAGTTCAGACGGCGGCCAAGTGGACGGGAGCGGGCCGGCAGCAGCAAGGTCTGACAACACGCTACCGGGTGCCGTGACAGGGACTAGCGCTCCAGCGAGCGATTCGGAATCTCAACACCAGAGTGTCGGGTCGCCTGCCACTGGGGTCAATGGCGGGGTAGCAGGTGAAGCCGACTACCACATGTCTGGCGCAGCCGCTACGGGCGATCTTCCCGATGGCAGGCCGGAGAGCGAGATGAAGGATGCCAAAGAGCACGGACTGGGCCATTTGCACTTTGGCAAGAAGAAGACGAGCTCGTGAAGGCCGAGATTGCCCCTGCAACGGTAGCCATGATGGGCGTTTGCCAGCAGGGCTGTATGTATGCTCGGCTTCGGGCCATGTGGGGGGGGGGGGCGTTATCTGGAGAAGCTGCATGGCGGCTTGGGGGAACTTGTGGTTGGCGTCTGGCCAGCGTATCACACACAGGCGTAGGCAGTGTGTCGCGTACATGGTGCATGGGGTGTGTGTATATGTGTGTGTGCGAGTGCATGCGTCCATGTGGCGTTGGACAAGGCGATTGTGTTGCCACAGGCCCGTTGTCGTCGGTGAGTTGCAAGACTGGTTCTCGTTGTTAGATATACCACTTTTGTTGTGTTTCGGCCTGGCGTGACAGCAGCAGCGGGCAGGTTGTCTTTTCTTTTCTTCTTTCTTTTTTTGCACTGACGGCCTGTTTTCTGCCGTCACAGGTTAGGGTCTATAAATATGCATGGCTACTGGCACGGGTGCAAAGTGAGGCGGACGTTGCACACATAGAATTGACGGCTAGAGCATTCAATGTTCCCCCCCCCCCAGTGCTAGCTAGGCCATTGACGGCGACACACGAGCGACAAACACTGCACGTCGGCAGCACAACTGCGCACTCCCAAGACCCAAGCACGCCACGGCACCACGATGCGAGGTGCGTGTGCATGGCCGAGCCAGGGTCTCGAACAGCGTGTCGGAAGCGTTGAGTGGGTGTCACCCATTGCCTTGGCCATGTGCAGCTGCTCGACCACGGACGACAAGTGCACGCTTGCATTCACACGCAGAGCGCGGGCGAGGCTGAGAGTGAGACACGATGCTCGCCCGCACATTGGCCACGCCCTTTTCACCGGAGCCCGCCAGACGACAACCAGCTTCCACCACCACCACCACCATCATCATCTGACCATGCGCAATTCGCGGCAGCCTGGAGCCAATGCGTGGTGAAAACGTTGCGCTCTCTTTCTCGCTTCGGGGGCACACGGTTTCAGCTACTACACCTACATGGACGACTTCTTGAGTGGGCTAGGACGTGTCCGTACAGTGCAAAAAAAAAAGCAAGCCCTTTTTTGCATCTCTAGTGGGATGCGGAAAAAAGCAAAAAGGGCGGCGCGCAAGTGCAAGCATGCTCAGCCTTGCCCGCCGCCTGCTTCACTGCAACAGCAAGCCCGTTTGCCATTTGCTACATTCACGCATGACCCAATGCGGGGTAAGCAAGAACGGAGGCAGAAATCGGTGTACGAGAAAAAGCTGGAGCCTAGAACGGCCATTGCAGACGTGAGCGCTAGCTGTTGGCGCGCTACAGTAGTGTGTGAAGGTGATCCGTTATCACTTGCGGCTCTCGGGCGCAGGTTGCATATGGATAAAAAGGTGCACATGCGAGAACAACTCTCTCCTTCTCCTCTACTCACTCAACTCACTTTCTCTCCACCAGGACATACTATTGATTTTACCTCACGGCAGTTGTTCTGGAATTCACCTAGGACAGTCCACGATTCACTGTCTGCTACGTGCAGCTCATGAATGGTCAAGATAGCTCACACACCTTGGCAGCCATCTGTACTTTACCTGCTCAAGTAGACCAGAAGCTATCAGATACATCGTCATCGCCGCCAGTCATCATTGCGACTCCCTCGGTGGCCTCTGAGCCCGACGGAATCTCACTGCACGAGGGCAAAATGGACGCTTCACAGGAGAGCGCTGCCGCAGCTCAAACGGCCGACAAACAACAGGCAGACGATGGAAAGCAAGTTTCGCTTGCTCAGCAAACCAAGCAAGAGAACAAGATTGACACGAGTGCTAGGAAGAAGGTGCATGCAAAAAGCAAACATGCGTCACACAAGACCAGGCGCAGAGGGCATGGCAGTCACGTGTCTGAAACCAGTAGCTCCGACAGTGACGGCGACTCAGACCATGACAGCAGCGAAGATGACAAGGCCAAGCAAAAGAAGAAGAAGAAGAAGAAACGGGCGTCGGCCACTGTACAGGCACCGGCCCAGAAGCAGAGTAAGAGTAAGAAGCAGAAGCAGAAGACGCGGGTAAAAGACAGGAAGAAGAGCAAAAAGTACGAGTCAACGACTGAAGATGAGACGGCGTCTGACTCTTCGGGATCTGAGTCTGACTCGGAGGTTGCCGACAAGACACGCCGCAAGGGTGTGCTAGCAAAGGGCAAGAAAAAGAAGAGCAAGAAGATTGACGACGCGAGTTCCGACAGCAGTGAGGATTCGTCGTCGTCGAGCTCTAGCAGCGAGGAGATGAGCAGCGAGGATGAAAAGGCCAAGAAGAAGGCGGCGAGGGCAAAGACAAAGGCGAAGCGGAAGAATAAGAAGGCGAAAAAGGCCGAGGCTTCAGCGTCGTCGTCAGAGTCATCGTCGAGCGAGAAAGAAGACGCGACCGTGCCGTCTTCGCCCCCGGAAGTCGCCGTCACCGAGGACACTCTCGAAGCACAACTAGCTACCGTCAGCAGTCTCCTGCAAAGCCTCAAGGCGAAGAAGCAGTCTGCCGCTGAAGCCGCAGCCGCAGCCGCAGCCACCAATACCAGCTCGTCGGCGAAAGCCGAAAAGGCGTCCAAGAAGAAGACGCTGGAGTTTAAGCGCGTAGACCAAGTCTTCGACCTGAACATCCACGACTGGAAGCTCGTCGAGAGCAACAAGGATAAGAAGGACAACTTTGACTGCGTCTTCACGGTGCGGCGGCGCCTCAACTGGGAGGGCAAGTACGTGGAAACGCGGCTGGACATCAAGTCCAAGCTGCTGCGGGGCGCGCTGCAAGAAGTGCTCCGCGAGTGCAAGAGCATCAGCTTGGTCGAAGACGTCCCGCAGCTGGATCCCCACACGCTGTTCCACTACTACGACGAGCTCAAGGCCCACGTCGACAAGACGCTGAAGTCACGGCTGCACAAGGTCAAGCGCGGAAAAGAGCAAAAGCGGCTGAAGCTGCAGATTGCCCAGTGCAAGCTGCTGCTCGGCTACATTGACGAAGACTACACTGCGACGCGCAAGGCACTCAAGCCCATGCTCAAAGCAGGCACCATCACATACGACCTGGTGTGGGCGCTGTTCAAGCCCAACACGATTGCCTTTACGCCCACGTACCAGAACAAGGATGACCCGCGCTGCTTCAAGGTCGACGGCAGCTACGAGTACGAGAGCTGGATGACGGGCATCAAGTCGTGGTATGTCGACGGCAAGTACCTCGAGTACGACGGCAAGACGTTTGGCCTGGGCGACCACCAGGTGGCGATTCAGGCCTTCAAGGGACATCGTAAGATTACGAGCCTGGCGGCGTATCCGCTTGCGTTTCACAAGGATCCCGAGGTAAGGATATTTCCTATTCCATGTGTGTGCTGTGATGAAGTGAGAGAGCGTGTGTGTGTGATGGTGTGATGAAGAGAGAAAAAGCCAAGATTCAGAGCTAACGCCTTCGCAAGGGTATCCGGAAACAGCTTATTGAGCGGGGTAAAAAGTTTGTTGCGCTCGAGGGCATGAATTACAGGCTCCAAAAGGGAATTGCGTATATGAAGCATAAGAATAGTATTGTGCGGTTCATCATTAACGGGCGTGTTATGGTGGACCCGGCCATCTTCCGCCGTATCAATCCCAATTACCCGCTGTCGTACCTGAGGGCAGATGAGCTGGCTCAGGACGAGGAGGACGACGGGGGGTGTGAGGATGAGGATGGTGATGGTGATGACGATGATGCAGATGACAACAGCGATGAAGGGTGCGGCTGTGCGTCAGATGAAGAGGAAAGGGAAAAGGACAAGATGCGCATAGTCATGTGGAAGGACAAGAAGGGCCGGAGACACGCCATCAAAGTACGACAGAGTGTCATCGACAAGGAGGTTGGGGTTGGTGGTGACAATGGCAATTCACTGAGCGGAGACGAAGACGGCGAGAGGCCACGGCAGGTGTTTACCGAAGAGGAGCTGCTCATTGCGTCGCCGGTGGTGCTGGGCTTTGCCTTTTCCGACAAGCTGTGGCTGGAGTTTTCGCTGTCGGGCATCGAGGACATCAAGTGGAACGACGAGGCCTTCTCCAGCCTCGTGCTGCCGGCCGAGGTGAAGCAGAACCTCAAGGGTCTCGTGTCGTCGCACCGGTTCCACGCAGCCAAGACGATTGATGATGTGATCCAGGGCAAGGGCAAGGGCCTGAACGTCGTGCTGCACGGTCCGCCGGGCGTGGGCAAGACACTGACGGGCGAGTCCATTGCAGAGTATCTGCAGTGCCCGCTCTACGCCGTGTCGGCGGGGGAGCTGGGGACCAACAGCCGCACGCTGGAAACAGACCTCAACCGCATCATGGACATTACGCACTCGTGGGGCGCCATTCTGCTGCTCGACGAGGCCGACGTGTTCCTCGAGGCGCGGCAGCCACACGACATCCAGCGAAACTCGCTCGTGTCGGTGTTCCTGCGGCTGACCGAGTACTACCAGGGCATCCTGTTCCTGACGACCAACCGCGTCGAGACGTTCGACGAGGCGTTCCAGTCGCGCATCCACATGGGCATCCGGTACGAGCACCTTCCGGCCAAGGCGCGGAGGAAGATCTGGCAGCAGCATGTGGGCAAGGTAGAAAAGATGCGGCGCCAAGCCGAGGCCGGCGGTGATGGTCACGAGATGAAGCCCTTCACCGACGCCGACTTTGACGAGCTCAGCAAGCGGAACATGAACGGGCGCCAGGTACGTCGCGTGTCCAGGGGCACATTGCTCTGTCCTATTTTCTTGTCCCTGGTTTTCCTGTCTTTTCTTTTTCCCCGAGGCTAACGTTTAGGGCGCAGATCAAGAACACGGTCAAGACTTCGCAGGCCATTGCACTGGCGGAAAAGGCCGTCTTCAGCATGGAGCATGTCAGGCGGGTGCTCGAGGTCGCGGAGGCGTTTGAGGATGACATGAAGGGCGGCAAGGGTTATCGTGATGCCATGAGACAGTATACTTAGAGTGAAGGGGAGGGGGGGGGCTGGGTGGCTGGAGGCCTGGTTCTGGGTTGGGGGGTCATGTCGGTGCTGGTGCCTGGAGCTGGAACAATGGCGTGTGTTCTAGTGTATGGCGAGTTAGGCTGAACCAATGCAGCTGGATGTCCATGGCCATGAGCTGGCTGGGGCATACATACATGGCTATTCATGGGCGGTGATGTTGCATGCAGTGGCCGTAGCCGCGGGCATGGGCGTGGTGGCGTGTCGGGGTGCTGCAGCGTCGAGGCGGCGGCCGTAGAGTGGCCGCTGTTATCGCAGTCTCACAGCGAGGCGTGCCGTCGTCGAGGACGGGGGAGCAAAAAAGAAGCAAGTCTTGCCGCTGATCATGACGCTATGCGACAAGCGGGCTGAGGGATGGGTTTGGCGGAGATGGGTCCGCCGGCCAGGACCGGGCTCGGACCGATACTACGGCTGCAGTGGTTTGCCAGCGCGGGCAGGCCGTCGCTCTCCACCACGGCGGCGCAATGCGCAGGCGGCGGCGACAGGCTGCATCGGGATGGGGGCCATTTCATCGCGAGGCCATGCACGCCGCGACGACGCCCTTTTTCTCTGCCCGCGAGCAGATTGATGCCAAGCCACGCGGTGGCTGGCCGAGTCTCCACCACTAGCCTGAGCAGCCCCTTCCCCCCCCCCCCATCTCCGCCCCCCGCCAAAACGGCGCGCGCAGGTGTCTCTTTTTTCTGGGGGGGAAATCTGAGGCGACTCGTGGGAACAACCGCTTTTTATCTTGCGCCCAGGTTATTCCCGTTCCAATTCTCACCACCGCTCGCATCAAACCCGCCGCCGTGGTGCATCCATCCAGCAGAGCGCACTCGGGCCCACGCCTCACCAACACCCGCACCAAGACTGGACACACAGAAACAGCATCGCCATCGTCACGGTCGCCGCCCCAGCTGCAACAACAGCTGCAACCGCCATCATCACCATCACCACTACCACCGCTACTAATACTACCACCACCACCCCTCCCCCTACTAACATCGCCGCCGCTGCGGTCGGGCATGCTGCACAATGAAGGTCGACGTCAAGCGCTCCACGCCCCAGCCCTCAACCAGCCCCGGCGCCTCGACCAGCACCACGCAGGGCGATGCGCCGCCCAAGAAAAAGCAGAAGCGCAACAAGCCCACGCTGAGCTGCGAGGAGTGCGTCGAGCGCAAGACAAAGGTGCGTCGTGAACAAAAGCGTCGGTCGGTGCCTGCGCGACCAGACAAGCACTCGACGGCTGACCGCACCCGCAGTGTGACCGCACAAGACCCCATTGCTTGGCCTGCATCAAACGGCAATCCACGTGCAAGTACTCTGAGATCGCCAATCTGATTGCTTCTTCGGCCGACAAGTACTGCCTCCCCCCCAACCCCACGCCCTCTTGCTGACCACCACACGCAGGGCTGCCGGTGCCGCGCGCAGTGCCACGGCCCGCTCCAAGAAGACCTGTTCCAAACCTCAACTTCACCTTGGCACCCACCCCCAACATGGCAATGCCAAGCCTGTCCACACCAACAACAGCAACAACAGCAACAACAACAACAACAACATCCCAACCCCAGTGCCCCCAACCCCCGTCAGGGCCCAGTACCGCAGTGTCTCGCTGTCCTCGACGGGCTCCTCGCCCTTTCTGCTGTCCAACATCCCCTACTCCAACCACACGCCCGCTCCCTTCTTTGGCCTCGGCTCCGAGCATCCCTTTGCCAACTACTGGACCAGCCGCGGCGGCCTGGCCGAGGTCGTCGGGGTCCTGCCAGCAAAGGAGCAGGCCGACATCCTCGTCGACAAGTACTTTGATGCCGTCGATCCCGTCTACCCCATGGTCCACCGCAGGAACTTCTATGCCGACTATGAGCGCTTCTGGTCCCTGCCCCTCGAGGAGAAGCACACGGCCGATCCTGTCCTGGTAGCCCTTCACTTTGTCGTCTATGCCATGGGCACCCAGTTCATACATACCACTGACAACCGCGAGCACGCCCAGATTGCAGAGTTCTACATCTCGGCAGCCCAGCAGGCCCTGCGCATATCGTCGTACCTCAGCCGTGCTTCGGTCAGAACGCTGCAGGCCATGGTGCTGATCGGCTACTTTTTGATGAACGACAACCATGCTTCTGATGCTTGGGCCTTTGGCGGCGTCCTGGTCCGCCAGGCCTATGCCATGGGCCTGCACCGTGACCCTGACACGATTGCCCCCCGCTGCTCCCGAAGCGACAAGCAGCAACGGCGGAAGCTCTGGCAGGCCATCTTCTTCCAGGACACGTTTCTTACCGTTCTTCTCAAGCTCCCGCCAACCACTGTCTTCTCCGACATACAGCCAGAGTCTTTGAGTGATGATCTTGACGACTACATTCCCAATGCCTCTTCGAGTAATGGCGCTACCGATCCCGTCATAAACCCCATGAGCATCAGCAACATTGCCTCGAACCTTGATCTCTACCCTCCCTATGAGCTTTCAGACCGACGCTACATCCGCTCCATGTGGCACATGGCTAATCTTGTCTCCCGCACCGTCTGCGTCCCACGCTCGCTATCAACACCTTTGACTACCTCTGCTGCCCAAAAATCCGAGCTTGTAAGCGAGTACTTTGCCTTGCACAGCAGCTTTCCAGTCGAGCTCACTGCATCTGACGAAGCCACCATACGAGCCATGGCCGAGCAAAATCCACGTGGCTTGAGACAAAATCTCTTTTTTCGAAGTAATTTCTGGCATTGCGTCATGGCTATCCAGGCCGACGAGAACCCTGCCGAGGGAGTCTCGTGCGATGTCAAAGGCGCGCTGGACGCGGCTAGAATGGCCTTGCAATCTTTCTTCCATTTCTGGGAATACCTCCGAATCGACGCGAGCGTGTGGTGGGTGTTTCAGCATCGTGCTTTTGAGGAAGCGGTACGTCTCTTGGATCTTGTTTTATACGATTGTTTCTTTTTTTTTCTAATTCACAATCCAGCTCCTCATGGCCCGCATCCTCGGTCAACAAGCACGACCCCTTTCCCCCACGCAATCCGGCCTCCCTCCTTCCTCAGATCCCCTGCTCAAGGAAGCAAAAAACGATGCGCGCAAATGCCTCGAAATCCTCGACGTGGTCGGCATTGCCCCTGAGATGCAGAAGACGAGGACTGAAGTCCTCAGGACGGCGTTTGCGGATATTCTGTGGTAATATAGAAGAATCTCACTTCTTCTTCTTCTTCTTCTTCTTCTTCTTCTTCTTCTTCTTCTTCTCCTTTTTCTTCTTTCTTTCTCTATATTTTTTTTCTCTTTTTTATTTTATTTTCTATACTCATTTGTAAATCATGACGTCTCACATTTCTTGCAACGAGCACATGAGACATGTAATATTATATCAAGCGAACGAGTGAGCGAGCGTACTTCGCAGGGGGTTGGAGGGGAGGCTTTGCACAATTCATAGGGCGTTTTTTTTTCTTTTTTTTCTTTTTTTAGTTGCTCGCTTTTCTACTTGTTCATTATGGCTTGTGACTTTGTGCATGCGCATCTTGTTGTTATGTTATACTCTGGCGATACTATACGAAATGGGGGTTTTTCTTTCTTAAATTCTAAACATCAATCCAGGTAACGTATTTTTCCAGGCTTTCAATGAGTTTATATATATTTTTAGTACTTGTTTTTTTTCGGTACCGCTTTCTTTCTTTCTTTCTTTCTCTCTTCATGAGGTGTTATTTTTTTGAATCATGTTTCTTGGGCTCGCTGCGTGAGTTGTAGCGCTCGCTGTGCATGTAGAATAGTGAGGCTCTGGGGAAAGAGTAGATGGGTGGTGGGGTTCTGTGGGATGCTTGTATGTATGTATGTATGTATATATGTGGGGATGGATGGATGGATGGATGGATGGATGTAGAGTCGTATCAAGGTATATATCAGACCAACTGGCTCTTTTTCTCTCTCTCTCTCTCTCTCTCTCAAGTTCTTACAAATGACTAAACTGGGGTGAAATCATCTTTTATGCTGATTATTATTCTCCCTCTCAATCATTCCCATTCCCACGTGCAGTTACATAAGTACACCCTTTTTTTTTTTTTTTTTCCAAACTCGAAATCTCGAATACGGAAAATGGCGCTTGGGAGCCGTATCATACGTACGTACGTACGTACAATCTTGTGCGGAATTATTACGTACATGGAAGAAACTTCCTGCAATGTATTGCATGCATGCATGCATGTGTATATAGTTTTTTTTTCAAGCCCTGGTACTGATAAATCACACGATGCACCACTCAGTCAATCGCATGCTCTTGCTATTAAACATCTCACACTCCCCCCTCCCCTCCCCCCCCCTTCTACTTTCAAAACAAGGTTCCCAACAAATTGCTATTTTCCTTTTCCTTTTCCTTTTCCTCTTCTTCTCTCCCTTGCACTTGTACTTGTACATGTACATCTATACATACTTAATAGATACCCAAGCGACATTCCAACATACACACATAAGGATATACACACGACTCAAGTCTCGGCTCTACTCTACTCTACTCTACTCTACTCTACTCTACTATACTCTACTATACCACAGTCCATCCCATACACGAACAAGCCGCATACAACCGAGCTGAGCAATTCCAATTCCAATTCCAATCACGATTTCAAGGGGTTCGCATATCTCGCCATGGCTATGTCCGAGGAGAAGACAAGGGAAAAAAAAGGGGGGGGGAACATTGTCAGATGTCAGTGGTCCGAGGAGAAGACATGATTGAATATGTTTCACACACACCCCCCCCCCCCGCCTCCCCTGTTCCCTTCATCCATCCCCCGTCTCTCTCCAGTCCCAATCCCAGTATTTGTATCTGTCTGGTCGAAATATTTGGTGTAAGACGATAGCGCCGTAAGACTGGGAAAAAAAAAAGTGGGGGTTTGTAGAATGGAATAGAATAGGATAGAATAGAACAGTGCTCTGTCGACATAATCAACAACTATGATGTGCGAGTGCAGTATTACCGTGGAATTAGTATGCTGGAATGCGGGCTTTGCATCAGGAAAGTTAAGATAAGGCACGTCAGGTCATGTTAGCTTAGGTAAGTAGGTGTATATGTAGGCTAGGTGTGAGAAGCATGTGATGGAATCGCCATCACCATCACCATCCAGCCTGGAATCTGAAAATTTGTCGGAAGAGTGTGAGAATAGCATTTCTTGGTTACCTACCGTCATTAGGATGAGGAAAAGAAATGCCCCAGGAGACATACATATGTAGGTGTGGGTGTACACCTAGAGGCAGAGAGAGACAGAAAGTAGCGTCATGCAAGCAAACGGGCCGGATCCTTTTACTGTACTTACTGTACCGCACCCCCCAAGTCGGCCGAGTCAGGAAAAGCTTGTCGGCCGCCACCACAGTCACAGCAGTTTGCCACACATCCACACAAATGCACATGCACATGCACATGCACATGCCTAGTCGGTGCAGTCCGCCGCATCAAAGCAAACAAAAAAAAAGGCCACACGACACGCACCCCTGCGCTTATCGCAGAACCCCCCAGACCTATATTCATGCAAACACGCCGGGTGGAGCGCGAAAAAAAAATAATAATTCGTCTGTTGATGGCAGATGGGGTGTTGCGCATGCACATGCACATGTATGTACGTGTGAAGGGGGGGGGAAAGGACGAAGAGACGGATGAGGGAGGTGAGTATGTAGCAGGTAAGGGGGGGGTGTTGCCAAGTAATATGGTAATTTATATGTATGCAGGTCTCCTGGGTAGGGTAGAGTAGAGTAGGGGAGTAGGGAGAGTAAGCCAAGCCGGGGTTTTATGCAATACACATACACACATACACATACATACACATGTATGCATGTGCGAGAAACGGAAGAAAGAAAGAAAGAAAGAAAGGCGTTTAATCAACCACGTATGTAAGAGTCTTGAACGAAACATGTAAACATAAACAAAAATCTAAAGTTTTTTTTGAGCAAGTGTCAAGCACAGGCATCCCGGGCTATTTGTATTATTAACTACAATAGGTGGTTTGGCTAAAAGCGCTCGTGTACATGGATTCGTGGTGTTTTTCCAGATTCTTCGCTACCGACGGTGGAGTGGCTGGCGCCTGCAGGGCTGCCTCCTCGCCCTTGCTTGTGTCGTCGATCTTGGTCGACGGATACTCGAGCGCCGCGCTCGTCAATCACCCTAGTTGTATTGTAGCTAGGGTGGCCTTGTTGCTGCTGCCATGCTTGCGAGGGCATGGTCGAGCTCAGGAACGTTTCTTCGTCGGAGCCGGCACTTTCGCGTCGCGCGCGCGATGTAGTGATGGTGACGGACTTTTGGATGCTCGGCTTGAGCGTGCTGAGTTGGTTGCCCGAATGTTCTTGGCCGGATTTGAGCGATGGCTTGCTCCAGGGCATAGCGGAGCCGGAGCGAGTGATTTCAAAGGCTTGTTTCAATAATGGCCGGAGTGTTGCAATGGATCCGGCGGTTATACCCAGGCCCACTTCGACTGTACTCCAGATGGCAAAGTCGGTTGTGCGGTAGAGGAAATCGCCTTTGTAGCCCTTGATAGAGCTCGTGTATGGCAGCCGGATGATGGTTGCTGTAGAGCCACTGTTGAAGTCAGACTTGTTCTGCAAACGAGACTGCTCGATGCTACTTACATAGCCGCCAGAGCAATGACAGAGGCCACGACAACCTTCATGCGCTTCTTCATGTGCAGGCCCTGGACAATCAAAACGGGGAGGATGGCAAAGACCCAGTCGGCAAAGGCATTCAGTCCAGAGACGACAAACGTAAAGTTCATGACGAGTGCTGAGGACAGACAGACACCCTTGGCATTTGGGTCGAGATTCCACCAGTACGAGATGGGCTTGCACTGAAAGATGACGACGGATGTGTATGCAATTCCCACGATTCCCGATACAACCATAATCAGACGGATAATCCAGATGTGAAGCGGGACAATGGTGATGCGTAGCAGGAAGAAGCCGACCGAGATCTTGAGCATGCACGTCGACAGCGTGTAGAAGATTTCGCAGAAGAACCAAAAGTGGAGGGCCGTTTGAGCTTGTGCATCTGAGAGCTTTTCCCGCCGTACGCCCGTTCCGTGGACGGCGCCGCCAATCTGGGCTATGAGGTATCCGGTAAAGAAGCACAGCGTGACGAGCATGGTGTAGTCGTCAACGCCAAAGCCCTTGACTAGGAAGCATCTACATGAACATCAGTTAGGGGTGCGTTGGCCCGATTTTGCAGTGGGCCTTACCGCACATAGCAGCGGAGGCTGACCGTGACCCAAGCCAGAACCAGAAATGTGAGGGCTATGGCCAAGACCTGCCCACTTCTATCCTCCATGGTGGATGGTCAGTTTGTGAGGGAGTCGTAAGTATGTGAGGAGAGGAAATGGTGGACCAACACCCGGCAAATCGAGCAAGAGAAGCAGCAGCATATTGTAGGCCATGAATTGGTTCCCCACCCCCCCCCCCGGCGATCTTGCCTCACAGACGTCTCAACACTAGGGTCCAAGCCGTGCATGCGTTTGGTTGCCCAGCCGTGTTTACGCTAGAATTTTGTAAGCAACAAGGCCGCTCATTGCTATGAATCCTGGTAGCGGTCTTGGAGACAAACTGGTGGACGAGCCCGGGATCTTCGTGGGGCGACATGAGGTCCTTTGGTCTGGAAGATCGGCAACGTGCCTGGTGGAGCCGATAAATTTGTCCCTGCCAGTCGAATTATGGGCCATGTCTGCCAGGTACTGCATCATACTGGGCTCCACCATGTGGGAAAAGGGGAGGTGGGTAGCGGAGGTCGGCAAAGGTTGGACATTTGGGTCAGCGAGCGGCAAAGCACCCCCGCCCGCCGTGGCACGCTTGACGTGGGCCGGGCCATCTAGCGTTGTCGACATTGGGGCTCGGAATCATGTATGCGTTAGCCGTGGCATTGTCGGGATGCTGCTTGTGAGGTCAAGGTAGGATTTGTGAAGAATGATTTGAGATGGAGCCGATCGTTGCCTCGCACGTCAAAGGGGCCTGGCGATCCAAGTAGACGCAACACCTCCTATCTCCAGGAAACAATTCGCAGCTTGCATTGCCGTGTCGTGGACGGCTCCTTCGACACGCTTCATGAGCCGTTTTGCGATCTGACAGCGGCTGTGTGTATCCACGTCCATGCTCGACTTGCTGTCCAAATGAGCAGCGTCGCCCGTGCCGTGGGCGTCTAGCCATTGATTGCCGTCTGGAGGTGTTTGGTACGGTGCAAAATAGCGCGGGATGGACCGTAAGCAAGAAGACTGCCCGCACCGTTGCGAGAGATGGTGTCCGCGCGGCGCAGCTTGGGTCAAGCTTCCCCGGGCATTCGTCCTCGTCGCCGGACTGGTTTGCATGCGGCAATTGGAGTCGCTGCTTTTGGCTCTGCAGATTCGGCTTGCGAATCGAGTGGGCATGAGGGGCAGTTCTTTAGGCGCTCGGCACGTGAGCCGCCATATCCATGCACTAGCCGTCTGCCGGAACGATGAACCTAGCAGTCGGAATTTTAGCCCGCCGCCACGCAGTCACAGTTCCTTTGAGACAATCCTCCACATGTACGCCTACGTGATGCAGAGGCCTTTGAGCTTTCTTGCTGCCATGGACATGTATGCGTGGGTCATGAAGCCCGTCATGGTTCTCTTGCGTCGATATCCCCTCCCCCGGCAACACCCATGACGCCAATCTCTCTCGTATTCGGAAGGCGATCCTGCGTTCGCCCTGACGGCTGGATTTCTGATGCTGGCACAGGCAATAATTTGGAAGATTTGCTCCGTGGGTCATTCGCCATGCTTGCTCTGAACGCTCGCAAGAACGGCAGACGGGGAGCAGTCCGCGCTGTCTCGGCTCTACTACGGCCAAACCGCTCCCGTCGACGTTTCACCATTTGTGGCATCTACACCTGCTGATTTCCCAAGGCGGAGAGACGCCCCAAAACAGGACCAGTAGTCGGACGCTAATCCCCGATTACGCGTAGATATTCTGTGCCGCATACCCACTGGGCCGCATCAAGATACCTGGCCACTGTTAAAGACAAGGCGACCCTAGCGGCAGCAAAGGAAGAGTCTTTCCTAGCACCTCGCCACAGTGTGCTTGCAGCCACTCGAGATCCACCCACGCAAAGTCTGGCCCAAGGGGCAACGGCAGCGTGCTGGCTGTCGCATCTCGTCTTCACACCCATTTGGGGCATACGAATGAGCGCATCCGCACGCGCCTCGCCGGACCTCGCCTAGCCCGTTCCACTTGGTCCCTATTATTTTCCTTGGAAGACATACCTGTTTTGGACGCTGGCCATGCTCCTCTATGACAAGCCTTGGACGCACGCGCTGTCGCATCTTTTTACAGTCGCATATTTTGACACAGCGCAGCACTTCGACATGGCCCAGTGGTAAGAGCAGCTGGTACGACTCCACCACGTCTGTTGCAGCGTCGTCCCACCGTCTTGAGGCATTTCGACAGGCGGCCGTCGTTCATAGTGGTCCTTGATGGTGGCCCTGATGGTGGCCCTGATGGCGGCCTTGATGGCGGTCCTTTATAGTCAATGATGAGCAACGTGCGACAATGGACTCTACTCACCTTTGCGGGATTCGTTTCAAACTTATAGGTAAAAATCTGCTCAAGGGGCATGCTGAGGAGCCGTGTTTGAAACACCAAAGTCGGTTTGCGCCTCCACCAGACGAGGCTGAATGACTAAGCCGGCTAAGCGCCGGAAGGGGGACTTTGATTTTCCGACGTGCTTGCTGCGCGGTGCCTCGCTTTAACTGAAACTGGCTTGGAAAGCACAGCTATTGTCTGCGATGGCGGGCCGTGGATGCGGTCTCTGGACCTGAAGTTGAGCGTGCCTCGCAGGCTATAATCAGGGCGGAAATCATGCTCAGCGCGCAGCCAGTAATATCCTCCGGGAGCCGGAGCCAAGACGTGTTGACTCGCTGCTCCGCGTGGCGGAAGACGCAAAATATCGGGGCTTGATCTAGTGGGCGATGGTGGCGTTTTGTGCATGGCTGTCATGTTTTACCGGTGCCTCTATCAGTCGGCGTGGATGGTCGCACAAAGCATAGCAACGAGCCTGGCCAAGGGCATATTCAAGGGCTTTCTTTGAGGCAGACTGTTGATTATTAGCCTTAGCACTGCAAGCAACTATGGGTTGCAGCATGAGATCTGTTCCTCTTTGGAACAAGCGCCACCGTAGAAACCCAAACCGGGTAAACGCACCGTATCAATACTCTCTCCTGCGGGGCCCCACAATCAAAATTGATATATTCAACCAAGCAAAAAGCTGGCACAATAGATTGAAGAAGTTTCCACGCTTCTTCTTTGAGCTCCACCAAGAGCCTCCTCGCCGTTAGGACGATGTTTCGAAACGGTGGACATCACGAGGACCAGTCTAGATAAGGTACCTGGCCAATGGGGACGGTGCCTGCTTTAGATGAGAGGGAAATGGTCTTGTCAAAAGGAGCCATTCCGACCCGGGTCGTTGTCCAGAGGAGCAGTATAAGTAGAGTAGAAATTCCAATGAAACAGCTCGCCACCCACCACTCCTTCACCAGCATCAGTCTTTACTCAAACAGCCCCCAATGGCACGTTACGCGCTCCTTGCTGCAGCCCTGTTGGGTTTGACCGTTGCTCAGACCCCAGGAACGACTCCTGAAGTGCACCCCAAGCTCACCACATGGAAGTGCACCAAGCGCGGTGGATGCAAGGCGCAGAATACTGCCATTGTCACGGACGCGGCCGCCCACAACATCCACCAGAAGAACAACACGTCTTTGGGCTGCGGATCCTGGGGTAACGGCCCTGACCCCACGGCGTGCCCTACCAAGGAGGCATGCGCGCAGAACTGCATCATCGAGGGCATCTCGGACTACTCGACCGTGGGTGTGTTCACCAAGGGCAGCGACCTTCGCCTGGACATGTACAACCCCAGCGGCGGCTTTTCCAGCCCCAGGGTGTACCTCCTGTCTGAAGACGAGAAGAACTACCAGATGCTCAAGTTGACCGGCAACGAGCTGACGTTTGACGTCGACATGTCCAAGCTTCCCTGCGGCATGAACGGTGCCCTGTACCTTAGCGAGATGAGGGCCGACGGTGGTCGCTCCAAGCTCAACCCCAAGGGAGCTGCCTACGGCACGGGCTACTGTGACGCACAGTGCTTTGTAACCCCGTGGATCAACGGTGAAGTAAGTAGAACTGGTGTTTCTTTGTTGAGTAACTGACTGACTCTGTCACAGGGCAACGTCCAGAAGCAGGGTGTGTGCTGCAACGAAATGGACATCTGGGAAGCCAACAGCCAGGCGACTCAGATTGCGCCGCACACATGCAGCAAGCCCAGCCTCTTTGGCTGCACGGGCGACGAGTGCGGCAAGACGGGTCTCTGCGACAAGATTGGCTGCGCAGACAACCCGTACAACCAGCGCGGCGACAAGTCGTACTACGGCCCGCACCTCAAGGTCGACACGACGCGCCCCTTTACCGTCGTAACGCAGTTCCCCGCCAAGAACGGCGTGCTGCAGGCAATTGTGCGCAAGTACGTGCAAGACGGCGTTGTGATTGAGAATGCCACCAAGAACATCATCATGGACCAGGCATACTGCTCGGCGCAGGGCGGCGCGGAAATGTACAACAAGCTCGGCGGACACAAGGGCATGGGCGACGCCCTATCCCGCGGCATGGTGCTGGCCATGAGCGTGTGGTGGGACGAGAGCGGCGCCATGCAGTGGCTCGACAGCGGCGCCTCCGGACGCTGCAACTCGACCGAGGGCTTCCCAGCTGAGATTCTCAAGAAGGTCAAGAACCCAACTGTGACGTTTAGCAAGATCAAGTGGGGAGAGATTGGCTCAACTTTTGCCGAGAAGAAGGCTGCGTCCAAGCGGTGGGAGGCTTAGAGCCGCGGTGACGGGGGCGGGCGGTTTTAATTGACGTGTATATATTGAGAGATTGAATGACACTGTACATATCTGACGAGGTCATTAAAGTATATCCGATAAACGTAAATAAAGTGCATATCCGAACATACCGGTTGATGCGTCATGCCATGCGTATATTATCTTGAAGCAGAAATTTTTCACAGCTGCATTGCTCCCGCCGCAAAAATTCCCCAGTGCAGTCTAGCATTGCGCTGTGCATGACTCTGACCGGGCACCCAACAAGTAGACGACGTGACGTTGGACGTGTGGATAAGAAATGGTCCATATGTAAGCAACGCCAGCTTACCAAGCTGAGCACCCAAAAGCAGAAAACACTAGTCTGTATTGGGCACCGCCGGTGAACCGTGCTTTTGACTCACGCTCACGGTTGTGACTGGCTTCTCAGCCCTTTTCCCCCGTCTCCTGTTCTGGGGATGCGCTTGGCTGCTTGCGGTGTGCGCCCTTTTGCACGACATGCTGTATATCCGCCACCGGCACACGCATGTGGGGGAAATGTGGTGCGAGTGCTGGGTCATTGGTTGGAAGCATGTTCCACGAGGCAGGCAGTGAGGAAGCGAAGGATGCTAGTTGTTTTTCTTAGTAGAAGATGGAGAGAGAAAAACGCTGGGTAAACGGAAGACTCATTGCTAAGCATACATGTGGCTTTTGCTGGAAGAGGGTGGATGGGGAATGGAGGGAGCGTGTATAAGAAGGGAGGCGTGGGTGGTGAGGTTGAGGTATCAATCAGACTCATCACTGGCATTACGAATTCAGTTTTCTATCTGAGCTTTGTTGAGGAAAAGAAAAGAAAAGCAACTATTGGATTATCGGAATATACATTTTGGGGAACCAAGTCTTTTGTCGGTTATCTTTTCAATCAACCATCCATTCAGCTATCCAGCTATCCATCAGCAACACCACATCCCAAAATGTCACCATCATCATCGCCGCGTCCCAGCATGTCCACCACCACCACCACCATAGCAGCAGACGCGCAATCGACAAAATCCTCGACCTCGACAATGGCATCCACAAAAACGCTCCTCAAGTCTCTTCTCCCATCGTCAAAGCGAAACTCGGCTTCATCAACTTCAAAACGCACAACCAAGGCGGAGGAAGAGGAGACTAGGACGGAGAAAAGGAAAAGTAAAAGTAAAAGTAAAAGGGCAGAGGAATCACCCGAGGAAAAGGCAGAGCGCAAGGCAGTCAAGGCCGAGGCGTTGCATGCGTGGGCGTTGCATCGGTCGTGAGGATGTGCCTGGGAAGAAGGATATGAAGAAGAAGGAGATGCATGAGCTACTGTGAAGAGTATTTTTGTTTAAGAGGGGTGGAGAGGAAATGTAGAGCCATGTCAAGTATGAAGTAGGCAGGGTATCTAGAAAGGGGGTTATGCATGTTTGACATGAAGAAATAGAGCTATAGCGTGGCATATATCCGTGCATAATAGCGTTAATGGGACTTCTACGATCTTTTTGCCAGTTTGAATTGAGAATGCTGTTTTGAATTGGTGTTTTTGCTGCACATTCAATGTAGCAGAATTGGGGGTGAAATTTGTTTTATCTATCCCTGGAAAATCATAAATCATAATCAATCATCGACATGCTTGTAATTGCTCCATGCCCGCAACCTACACCTCCTTGTTGGGAACCCCGCCGGGCAATGTCTGCACCTTTTCTTGGAATAGCCGCTCGGCGCCTTGCCAGACGGGTGTTGTGGCGCGGTCCTTGAGGGCCATCAGGCTGGGCAATAGGGCATTGCTAAAGGCTTCTGAGGATTCACGGGGAAGGGCGGACGGGAGATGGTCGATCGAGATGACCGAGAGCCTGGGACCACTGTCTTGGACGGGCACCTCGACTGTGGGCTTGTCAAAGGTTGTGTTGATGTTGTAGATGGGAATAGGGTTGTGGGGGTTGGTGGTGTCGCATGAGACGTCGCACACGACGCTCAGCTTGCGGTTGGGTGCCTGCAGGCTCTCCTTGCTGACAAAGGGCGGGATGGGCTTGGAGAGGTAGATGCAGTTGACGAAAATGTCCGACTCGATAATCTCGGGGTAGGGGCCATCGCGCTCCTTGGTCTCGGGCAGATCCCACTTCTTGATGTCGGCACAGCCAATCTTTTCGAGCAGGTCGACGGCACCCGAGCCACAGCGGCCGAGGGCGCCTAGCACCAGGCTGGAGGGCTTGCGGCCGGCAATCTTTTCGCCCACAGCCACATCTTCCTTGAGCTGGGCGATGAGCTCATCTTCGTTGTTGTAGTACCCGCGGCCTTGGGTAAATTCGCCAAGGCCAGGGAGGGGCTCGCCGTTGGGGTGGGTGAGCTGCCAGGACCAGGTCTAACGAGTCAGCACTGCCACTACGTCTCTCTCTCTCTCTCTCTCTCTCTCTCTCATACACTCTCGCACTCTCTCGCACAGTCTCTGCATACCTTGGTGGCGAGGGCAGCGCCAACGAAGCCGGCATGGTAGCCAAAGGCGGCGACGCGTCTGCCCGACTCGTCCTGGAGGAACTCGAGGTCGTAGAGAGTGCCGCCGCCGCGGGGGAAGCGGGCCAGCACGTGCTCCCAGCCGCCCTGCTGCTTGTAGCAGTGGGCAAAGTGCACAAACGTGTGCTCGAGCGGAAAGTCGTCCTCGGGCAGCTCCTTGAGGCCGAGGATGATGTGGTCCTTGGGCGCCGTCTTGTATGCGCCCTCGTCAATCAGCGTGGCGCCGGCGTGCTCAAACTCGTCGTCGGCGAAGATGCGGGCATAGTTGGGGTCCTTGGGCGAGCGCTCGACCAGGACGGGGTAGCCGGCGTCGAGCAGCTTCTTGGCCGTGGTGGGCGTGAGGCACGAGCGGTGCTCGAGCGGCTTGGCCTCTGCGCGGGCGTGGAGGGTGGGGAAGGCCATGGCTGGGTGGTTGATGTGGGTGTGGGTGTGGGTGTGGTTGTTGTTGTTGTTGTTCAATGGCAGCTGCAGCGGCGTCTTGATAAAGGCACGGGCACGGATTTCGGAGTGAGGCGCGGACTAAAGCCAGGCACCGCCGCGATGACTCCATGGCGAGGCGGTTTTTTTTTCCGGCGGGCGCCCAGCACGGGAGCTCCGACAGCGGCGCTAGCACTTGGATGCATGGGATGCCAATGCAGGACCGCTGGGGAACGTGGGCCGGTTGGGGTGAGACAGACATTGGATGCGCTCTGACCGACTGACGTTAGAAGCTAGCAGAGAGGATTCCGCCCGCCCGCCCGCCAGCAGAAAAAAACCACCATGCCGCTGCATTGTCCATGCTTTTCCTTTACTCCTCCTGCTGCTCCTCGCCACGGAAGCGCTATGCCCATGCCTGCTGCACCCGCCAGACGGACCGCCGCACTCGAGCACAAGGACGTGGACTGACGGGGACTGACGGCTGCGGCTACGTAATCCACCAAGACCCAACACCGCCCGGCGACCATGACGGCATCCAGAGCTTCACACTCGCGCGAGTCGTCGACGGCCAGCGTCCGCCATGCACACGCGCCCGCCACGCCCAGCCAGCTGCGACAGGCCCATGTGCCCTCGGACTCGTCGACGTCGCCCGACACGGCCATGCACCGCCCGCTTTCCTACTACCATGACGATGATGATGACAATGACGACGGCAACGCCAACAGCAACACCAACAACACCAACAACAACAACACCACCACCACCACCACCTCCTCCTCCTCCACCGCGCCCTCGAGCAGCGCCCCTCCGCCAGACGCCGCCGTCATCGTGTCCACGGCCGGCATCCAGCCTACGGCAGACGCCTCGTCGGCGGCGCACCTGACGCGCCAAAACGTCGGCGCTGCTGGCGGCATCATAGAAATCGACCTCGAGCCCACGGTGCGCTCGCGCCTGCTGCAACACCACGACGCGGGGCAGAGGCCGGCCACGCACCGCAGCTATGGCAGCTTCGCGGGGAGCATGCACTCGGAGCAGAGCTTCGGCGGCGCCTTCCCCGGCAGCCAGCAGACGCCCGACGAGACGCATGCGCTGCTGGGCGACGCCTTTGCCGACGGCGTCATCAGCCAGACGGGCCCCGGCAAGACGAGCACCACGCGCTGGCTGGCCGAGCGCCACGGCATCAAGGACAAGCGCATCATGTACCTCAAGTACTACATCCCCATTCTCAACTGGACCCAGCAGTACAAGTGGCGCTACTTCAAGGGCGACCTGGTGGCGGCCGTCACCATGGCCTCGTTCTACATCCCCATGGCCCTCTCGTACGCATCCAACCTGGCCCACCTGCCCCCCGTGCACGGCCTGTACAGCTTCGCCTTCAACCCGCTCATCTACGCCATGCTGGGCACGTGTCCGCAGATGGTGGTCGGCCCCGAGGCCCCGGGCTCGCTGCTCGTCGGCGAGATTGTGCGCGAGAACATCAAAAAGGGCACCACGCACGACGACGACGGCAGACGCAACGCCGAGATTGCCGGCATCGTGACGTGCATGGCGGGCGCCTTCATCCTCATTGGAGGCTTCTTCCGCCTCGGCTTCCTCGACAACGTGCTCAGCAGGCCCTTTTTGCGCGGCTTCATCAGCGCCATTGGCGTCGTCATCTTTGTCGACCAGTTGATACCGCAGATGGGGCTGGCCCGGCTGGCCGCTGACCAGGTGTCGCACGGCAGCTGCCTGGACAAGTTTGTCTTCCTCGTGCGCAACGTGGGCAATGCACACGGCCTGACGTGTGCCGTGTCGTTTACTGCCTTTGCCATCATCATGTTCTTCCGGTGCGTGTGCACGGCTTGGCGCCGGTTTTTTTTTCTCCATTTTTTTTCTTTGCTAATCAGCGTGCAGGGAGTTCAAGAAGCGCGTGCAGCCACGCTACCCGAATGTGGCATACATACCAGACCGCTTCGTCGTGGTGGTGCTTGCGGCCGTCGTCACGTGGCAATACCGGCTCGACCAACACGGGCTGGCGGTGCTGGGCGAGGTCAACTCGAGCGCCAAGCTCTTCTCGGTGCACTTCCCGTTTGAAATGTCGCACCTCAAGTACGTGTCGGATGCCATCAACACGGCCCTCATCATTGCCATGCTCGGCTTCTTCGAGTCGTCGGTGGCGGCCAAGTCGCTGGGCAGCGGCGACCACAACAAAGAGGGCGTGCAGATGCCGCTGAGCGCCAACCGCGAGCTGATTGCTCTGGGCACGGCCAACATCACGGGCGGGCTCTTCATGGCGCTGCCCGCGTTTGGCGGCTACGGGCGCTCCAAGGTCAACGCCTCGACGGGCGGGCTGACGCCGGTGAGCTCCATCCTGCTGTCGATGATTACCATTCTGTGCACCGTCTTCATGCTGCCGTACTTTTACTACCTGCCCAAGGGGGTGCTGTGCGCCATGGTGTCGGTGGTGGCGTACTCGCTCGTCGAAGAGGCGCCGCACGACATCAAGTTCTTCTGGAAGATTGCGGGCTGGTCGGAGCTGATTCTCATGGGGCTGATTTTCGTCATCACGATTGTGTGGGATCTCAAGCGCGGCATCGGCGTGGGCATCGGGCTCTCGATCCTGCGCCTCATCCGCCATTCGGTCCGGCCGCGCATCCAGATTCTAGGGCGGGTGCCGGGAACGACGAACCAGTTCACCAACGCCGAGCATCACCCGGGCGACGTCGAGTTTATTGAAGGGTGCCTGATTGTCAAGATCCCAGAGCCGTTGACGTTTGCCAACACGGGCAACCTCAAGACACGGCTTCGGCGCCTCGAAGACCACGGGACCAGCCGGGCCCACCCAGCGTTGCCGCGCGTGCGGCGTGCCGAGCACAACAAAAACATCATCTTTGACGTGCACGGCGTGACGTCGCTCGACGGAGCGGGGACGCAGGTGCTTGCGGAGATTGTCGAGTCGTACATCCAGCGGGGGGTGCGCGTCTTCTTTTGCAGAGTGCCGCAGGAGTCGAGTCCAGTGCACAAGCTGTTTGAGCGCAGTGGCATTATTGAAATGTGTGGCGGGCCCCGGCACTTTGTGCAGAGCGTGGAAGAGGCGTTGCGTATGACGGAGCTGGAGCGGCTGACCGAGGATTGCCCGAGCTCGGCGGAGAGCTCTCGCGCTGAGTCGAGTCGGGCATGACGGGTAGTCGAGTGTGCATGGTGTGGGTGGGTGTGTGCAAGTATAGGCGTCAGCCAAGACAAGACCGTAATACAACAATACAGACGACAGTGCATAGAGTTTGGTGCCCCGTCCCGCTTCCGACAAACACAGGTACGCGACCCGACGCTCTGCCTCAGCCGCGGGGATACAGGTGTCACGGGCTCGTCATGAGCTGAGCTGAGCTGACACGTCTCGAGAAGGGCAGGGCGGCCGTTCAGTTGGGCCGAGAGCAGCGCCAACCCCACGGATGCGGGGAGAAATGCTTATCTGTGGCTAGCCGGCCAACCAAGCTTTGCGGCACCTTTGGGCTGCCGGCATGTTGCGCCGACTTTTTCTCGGCCAAGAGCCGCCTAGCAAGTCTTGATGGCGCTTAGCATTTTCTTGGTGCGCCTCTGCAGCCTTTGCAGCCTCCTGCAGCCTCTTGCCGTCTTCTGTGGCGCTCGCTGCAAAGACTGACTGGCCCAACGACCCCCCCCCCCCATGGCCATGCGGGGTTGCGGGGAGGCGTGCCACGGGGATGCCGACTTCACACGCCCCCGTTACGCACCCATGGCCAGGCAGACGTCTATAAGAAGCCAACTCCCGTTCTGCACTGACATGCCCCGCCCAGCCACTCGCGCTGCCGACAATCGCAATGGCAGACCAAAAGTACACCGCCGAGCAGCGCGACTATGTGCCAGCATCGCCCAGCATGACCGTGGGCCGCTACATGGCAACCCGCATCCCCACGCTCAAGCCTGCCCGTGACAAGGTCGCCAACCCCATTACCCTCCTCCGCATGCTCAATCTGCAGCAGTGGCTCTTCTTCCTCGTCGCCTTCTTCGCCTGGACCTGGGATGCCTTTGACTTCTTCACCGTCTCCCTCACCATTGACAACCTTGCCAAGACGTTTGGCAAGACCAAAGCAGACATCACGTGGGGCATCACGCTAGTCCTGATGCTGAGAAGCGTGGGCAGTATCATCTTTGGCCTGGCTGCCGACCGCTACGGGAGGAAGTGGCCCTTTATCATCAACAATCTCCTCTTCATCGTCCTCGAGCTCGGCACTGGCTTCTGCTCCACCTACAATGAGTTTCTGGGCGTGAGGGCCTTGTTCGGCATTGCCATGGGTGGCTTGTATGGCAACGCTGCTGCAACAGGTAAGTCGTCTGTTTTTCTCTGTGCCCTTTCAGCCGCTAATGTCGCCACAGCCCTGGAAGACTGTCCCGAAGAGGCCCGCGGAATCATGTCGGGCATTCTGCAGCAAGGCTATGCGTTCGGCTATCTCCTTGCCACCGTCTTTGCACGTGCCTTTGTGGATACGGTTGGCCACGGATGGCGTCCTCTCTTCTGGTTCGGAGCAGGGCCTCCGCTCCTTATCATCCTGTTCCGCCTCTGCCTGCCCGAGACCAACACATATCTCGAACGCCAGCGCATCCGCGAAGAACAGCCCAACGCAGCCAAGGCATTTGTCCAAGAGGGCAAGGTCGCCTTGAAGCGCCACTGGCTGCTGCTCGTGTACCTCGTCCTGCTCATGGCCGGCTTCAACTTCATGTCACACGGCAGCCAGGATCTGTACCCGACCATGCTAAAGAGCCAATACAACTTCTCGGCCAACCAGGTTACCGTCACCCAGGTCGTGGCAAACCTGGGCGCCATGGCTGGCGGCACAATCGTCGGATACTCTTCTTCCATTTTTGGGCGTCGCATCAGCATCATCGTCATGTGTGTCGTTGGCGGTGCATTGCTCTACCCATATACCTTTACCTCCAGCGAGGCTGTCATAGCAGCTGCCTTTTTCGAGCAGTTTTGCGTCCAGGGCGCTTGGGGCGTTATTCCCATTCACCTCATGGAACTCTCGCCCGGATCGTTTCGGACCTTTGTCGTCGGAACTAGTTACCAGCTCGGCAACCTCGCTTCCTCGGCTTCATCTACCATTGAGGCGACCATTGGCGAGAGGTTCCCCCTGCCACCAAAGGGCGGCTCCTCACGGTACAAGTATGGCTTGGTCATTTGTATCTTTATGGGCTGTGTGTATGCCTATGTCATCTTGCTTACCGCACTGGGACCCGAGTATAGGGGCAGGAATTTTGATGTTGCTGTTGACGAGGACATGGCGGTCGCCACTGGCACAGAAGGCAAATATGAAACGCAAAAGCAATTCGAGGATATCGAGGCGCGGCAGCGCTAGTGAAATGGTGCTTCGGCTGTCCTGCGGCTTCAGGTCGCTTCACAGGAATGCATCGTTGTCCAGCCTCAAGACCGTTGCAGGTATCCCTCCACTTGAACGACAATGTAGAATTGGTCATACAGAACAGTTACATGTCAATGAATTCTAGTCACGAACATGTTCAATTCACTTCACTCCTTGGGTGCTCGGTGCTTGGGCTTGGCTGATATTGTTTCACCCATACCATGAGTGTTCTATCAATGGCGTCTAGACTAATGTGGAGAAGCATTCATATCGGCTAGCCCATGTGATGCCCTTTCCCAAGTCGTAGATTGTCACGGCGACTGCATTGACGTAGGCAATCTACGCGGTTTTTGGCATGCGAATGCCTGATTGGCCGCGCGACTTCACCCGGAAGCAACATCCGTCACTAGCGCTGCCCTACCAGTACGGGTCTGGCATCCCGCACATATTATCCTCATATCGTTGCAATCTATGCCACACCTCATGTCCGCCTTGTCCGGACCTCGCGTGCCAGAATCTTTTGTCCCATGGGCGTTTGGCCTCGATGGACCAAACTGCCGGTGGCTGTGTCTCGATGAAGCAGGTGCTCTCTCCTCGGACAAGGGCCATAACACAGCGTGTATATAAGGAGCTGGACAAAAGATGCAGATGCACATTCCCCAACCGCATATCCATCCATCTGCACACTCAGCCTGAAATCCAACCCCCCTTGCGGCAAACATGCAGCTCACAGCCATCCTGCTGGCCGCCGCGGCCTCCCTGGCCAACGCCCACTGTACCACCATGCCCTTTTCGCCCAGCCACGGTATGAAAACACGACTGATTCCCTCGTAGACACGCTCCCCAGCGTCAACGGCGACGCCGCATGGTCGCACACCCGCCAGGCCAAAAACTGGCAAGACAACGGCTTCGTCGGCTCCGTCACCAGCAGCGACATTCGCTGCAACCAGCTCAAGGCCGGCACCTCGACCCTAACCGTCGCCGCCGGTTCTTCCGTCAAAGTCTCGGTAAACCCAAGTGCATACCACCCCGGCCCCTTCCAGTCGTACCTTGCACGCGTACCCGATGGCGTCGACATCAACACGTGGGATCCCACGGGCGCAGTCTGGTTTAGGATCTACGCCGAACAACCCAAATTCGGGAGTCAATTGACGTGGTTGGGTGAGTTCTCTCTCTCTCTCTGTGAAATCTCCTCGTGAAAGCTGTCTATAAGCTAATATTCGGCATTTTCCACGCACCAGGCGCATCTACCTACGACATCAAGCTGCCGTCATGCATCCCCGCGGGCAAGTACCTGATGCGCAACGAGCACATTGCCATCCACACTGCGTCGAGCGTCGGCGGCGCCCAATTCTACCTGTCGTGCGCACAGCTCCAAATCACCGGTGGCGGAAGCACCAACCCGCGCGACCTCGTGGCTTTCCCCGGCGCCTACAAGGCCACGGACCCCGGTATCCTGATTAACATCAACTACCCCATTCCGACTAGCTATGTTAACCCTGGTCCCCCGACTTTCACCTGCTAGGACTAGTCTTGGTTAGTGCTGGGGCTGGTGCTGCGTGGAGTGGGAGTGGGAGTGGAATGGGAATAGGAGCGTTCTCTATGTAGGATGAATGGATTACAGAGGATGTAGATATCTATTATATATGAACACTAAAATACATACACTCTGCTGTATAAATGTACATACTATACTAGTACACTGTTCCCTTGTCCATCGGATGAACGTTCCTCCTCCTCCTCCTTTTCCGTCTGATGTCATCCCAGCATCCCAGTATCCACGTGCCTTATTCTTCTCCTTGTCGTAAATCCCTGCACATGTATGGATTTACTTACTCGCCATATGGCAGGGGTTTTGATATATGTTTGGTACCATGTTGGCTTGCTTTCTTTTTTTCTTGCTTTATTTTTGGCTTCGCGGATAGATGCTGTGACTAAAAGAACTTGTGGTACTGGGTTATGTATGTAGTTGTTGTTGCTGTGGATATGTGAAATGGAGTTTCTGGCTCTTCTTCTTCTTCTTCTTCCTCCTCTTCTTCCTTTTGCATTGAAGTCCCTGGCCCGAGGTCTACGTGAAAACGTTTTCGCATCGCTTCGTGTAGCTTGGGGATTCTGGACAGTCTTTCCGAGACATATACTCCCAAGTATATATGTACTATTTCGGTCTCAGATCAGCATGTTGAGGATTGATCGAGGATTTTGCTGGTCGGCTTGGTTCTTGTTTGTTGGGTATGTATCTAAGTAGAGTTTTTGGCCTTGATCATATCCTACTTTGACTCTTTTGTTGTGAGCGATTGGTTTGGTTTGATGGTAGAAATAATTTATAGCATCAGCTGCGACTAGTTATGTGGGTGTCTTGTAGAAAGGATGCATGCATTGCATGCAGAGATGTCAACAATCAAGCTGAGTCAAGCTCATCAATCAAGCTGGATTGACTCAACGGTCAAGCTGAGTCAAGCTAAGCTCATTAAGCTGTATCAAGCTGTATCAAGCTCGTCAAGCTCATTAAGCTGAGCTTGATAGAGCTTGATGAGCTTAATACGCCCGTGCGTAAAAAAAGAAGAATAACTATGAACTCCTTTACGTAGGCTACTAATCTATAGTAACGTTAACTCTTACCTCTATCTCTAATACTATACGTGTTAATTTATTATATATATCTTCTTATCTTACCAATTTCTTGATTGCAAGCATGCCACTAAAAAGACGCGTCTAAGCTATTGTTGCTACCCCACCGAAGCGGTCTCGGGGCGTGCCCCGCGGTACTCTAAGCCAGCCTATATCTATCGAAAGCCCGCCATCATCCTCTCGCTTATCACCTCGTCAAGCTCTAGTTGAAGCGTCCTAGGTATCGAGCTTCGAAGCGCGGCTGCGCGAAACGCAGGCTCGAGAAGCTATCATCCCACCCGCTGACGGCAGCGAGGAGGCAACGATAGCTTCTAACGAGCTTGCTAGTATAGGCTTCGACGAACACCTAGTAGACGCCTTTGAAGGTCTTGACTGGGACCACTTTCCTTAGTATATGAAGCCTTTGGCGTCGCAGCGCGGGAAGAAAAGCTGGATATACCTTTATGGCTACCGCGTCGCGTCACGGCTTAATCCTAGACGCTACTACTTTATATGCCGCTTTTGCTATAAGCAAAAGTTTATTAACGCTGGTGTCTATTGTATATATAAGACAACAAGATCAACGTTAGCAGCCCAACGACATCTTGAGGAGGACAAGCCTGGCCATGGCTACAAGACACCCGAGAAAGTTGATGCTGAAGTACTCAATACTATCCAGGCTGTGCTTACTGGCGATCGAGTTAGCCAAGCAGTCGCGAATGAGCTCTCTGGCTTTAATATCCAGCGCTTTAGGCTTGCAGCAGTTGCCTGGATTGTTGAGACTAACCAGCCACTTTCTACTTTCGAGTCGCCAGCTTTTTGGGACCTTATCGCGTCAGCTAATCCACAAGCAGAGAAAGCTTTATAGACTTCCTATAATAGCGTCTCTAGTTATATCATGCGCCTGTACGACTACCTTAAGCCGCGGGTTATTACAGCGCTGTCACAGGCACAGAGTAAGATACACATCAGCTTTGACGGCTGGACAAC